TCACAGAAAAGTACATCTACGAACCCAATGAGAGCGATACCCATCGAGATCAAAACAAAAGAAGCCATCATTTCTCACCAACATCACCATCCCATCGATATTCCATTCAGCTCTCATGGCACCTCTCAAGAGTCGCTTCACAGTTCTCCAACTGACCAATGACTCACCCCACTGCCTACCCAGCCTAACCATCTGAGTTACTCTTTCATCATTTTCTGTTGTTTCACTTCCTCCCTTTCATAACACTTCTGCGCTTCCTCCAACTCTTTTCGTTTCCCAACCAGCTGCTTCTCTACGTCCTTCAGTCGCTCCTCCTCAGACTTCAAATCCTTCTCTTTGTTCTCGACCTGCCACCGCATATCACCTGGGCTTCCGACCATGGACACCAATACTCACCATAACCTGGGCTCTCACCACACCACGATTCGCCTCCTTCGCCTGAATCAACAACAACATCAACGACCCCAACCGAATCAGCCTCCGACCTGCTCATTGATCCGCGCGAATTCTCCCTCCTGTTGCTGGTCAATCCTTGCCTTCTTTTTCTTGCACTCCTCAATCTCCTCCTGCGTCTCCTCACTAACCCACACAGACACCTCCAAAGCCACCAATAGCAGTCTTCAGCTCACATGTCGTTGTCACGCTCAAGGACTTCCTCCTGCTTTCCACGTAATGCCACTTGCATCTCTCCTATCCTTTCCTCGTAGTCCCCTATGAAGCCACTGAGCCCTCCGCGTGCCCATCAGCGACCCTTACTCTTCTGACTAGTCATCTCATAGAACTCCCACGCTACCACAAATCTCCCAAGTCGACCGATCTCGGCGCTCGCCTTAGCCCATCGATCATAGTTCTCACTGCCAACATTATACTTATTATCGTCACAGACATCCTCCTACCTCTCCTTCTGCAACTGCGCCAACCTCGGCTCGAACTCCTCTCGTAGTGTCCGCTCTATCTCCGCTGCCTAACACAATTCGACAGCAAAATCCAACTATTGAGACAAGCTCTGTTGACAAGCAAAATCGTAGCTACAACAACAAGCGGATTCTTTCACAACATTGGTAGCCCCCTGTCCCACCCTAGCCTCCTTATTGGCAATCTTCTTCTCAGCCTGAGCCCTCTTAAGATCATACAGCTTCGTCCCAGCAGCCTCCTCCATAAGAGCTAACCCCATACACTGACCAACCCCTCGAGAGACTCTCCGGCTCACCTAGTATCTCATCGGGCTTCATATTCACTACTTTGTTGATCCTACCCTGCATGATGAGGAAGTGGGGATTATTCACATTCAATTTCACCGAGTGAAATAGTGTCACCACAGCGTCACGCTGAACATTCCGACCTGAGCTGAATTCTGCCACAATAAACCTTGGCATATAAAGAAGGTAATAATAAACGCGGTGATGATGAATTCATTTAGCGCTGAGATTTCCTCACCAGCAGCTCACTAGATCTTCATAATGGAAATTTAAACAGGACTAGAATTTT